ACATTACAACATAACCAAATAAAAAATCAGTACACTCTAATCTAACAACAATCTGTAAAGCCTAATAAACTCAATAGACGTAAACACTACTAGAGCATAGAAATAGCTTCACAAAAAGAATAGACATGTGAGTGTGTATCATTTCAACACGTGATCATATAGTGGAGCAGCTCTCACTATCTGACTTCTGACAAAAAACTGGCTGGCTTAATAGACTGACTTCACTTTTGACTTCAGTAACTTGACTTATTTCACTTCGACTTCAGTAACTCGACTGACTTCAATTTAACGACTGATTCCACTTTGACGACTTCAATTACTTCAACTTGACGACTAATTTCACTTTGAAGACTAACTTGACCTCGACGACTTCACTTCAATTCAACTTAAAAGACTTCACTGACCGACTTAAACTTCGACGACTTAAACGTCTTCACTTTGACTTCAAAGACTTTCCCTTGACTTCAACTACTTCAATATGACTTCAAAGACTTCACTTTGACTTCAACTACTTCAATATGACTTCAAAGACTTCAATATGACTTCAAAGACTTCAATATGACTTCAAAGACTTCACTTTGACTGCAACATGACTTCAACTAAGTCACTATGACCTCAATTACGACTTCAACTGACTTGACTGACTTCAAATAACTTCTTTGACTTCAGTTCTGACTTATACTTCACTATTATGTTCGTTGTTCAAAATCATTTATGGGGACGGACCGGGTCAAATTCTAACCAGGCATTAATATACCACACTAGGACCGATAGGGCGGGGCTCGGTGTGGACAATTGTGTTGCGAGCTTTCACATGGTCTATACTTACTATACTTGTGTTTGTGTAGATGTGTTGATGGGGTCATCTGGTTTAAGGCTGACCAGGAGTAACAGTACTGTTTGTCTGCTATCAAATTCCTTGTTACATATTCCTCTGATTCATTGTTTACCGATTTCTCCAATCTCAGCAATCTATTACTGACTGTGTCGTTCTGAAGTCTTAAGTTAAGAACAACTGCACCAATCTCGGTAATCTTTATAGAATGATCCTCAATAACCTCGTTAACTTTTTCTATCAACTTGCCCGTTTTGAATTGCATCTCGTCTACTTTTGTGTCTACTTTTTCGTTGTCTCGAATACTGGGCTGTTTGTTTATTTGTTGCTTGTGGTTCATAAATTCTACATTAAATTGCTTCACTCCTGTAATGTTGCCAAATATCATATCGTATGGTCCGTTTTTGAAAACAACTGCTTCAACTGTTTTACACGCTGAGGGTGTGGCTATGGTGACTATAGCTGTTGGCCAAACATATGTGCTGCCTCTTGAACTGTGGACGAGTTGTGTTCTGCCTGTGTATTGATGGTGTTGTACGAATGTGTTACGTACTGCCACTGTGGAGCATAGTGTATCCCTAATAGATGTGGCGTATTTGTTATTGACTTTTGATGTAAATATGTCTGTTCTTCTACTGGCTTCTGTAAACGATGACATAAAAGCTATTCTATTTATCTGTCTATATTTTGGTCTGTTGCGTTGTGCATCTTGTTGGCGTCTATCATAATATCGTATTCTGCAATTTATTTGTTTGTGGCCTGATCTATTACAATAGTAGCATCTGACACTGTAATTGTGTTTTTGTTGACTGTAGTTAATCTGAATGTTGTGATTTGCGCTATTATGTTTTTGGAGTGTATGTGGTGTTTCACTTTTTGTAGTAGGTATTTCGCTTGCTTCACTGAACGTGTCATCTGAATCTGAGTCGTAGGAATAGTAAAATGTTGTTTGGGCTCTCTGGTTGTTATTATTAGTATCTAAACTTTGCACCGTTTCTTGTTTGGCTTGGCGAAGTTCTCTCATTTTTTCTCTTTCTTTACGAATTCTTTCTGTTTCTTCTTTAATTCCGTCAAGTTTCTTTGCTAACTCGGCATCTTTCTTTGCATCATATTCTTCTTCATTTAACAAGGAATCTGGATCTCCGGTTACCTTATAATCTACAATTCTATTGATCAAATCTTCCATAGCATCTGGATCATCTAGAGTTTTTGCGTCAAATTCTTTAACAGTTAATAACCAGTCTCGATTTTCTGTTGTCGTGTATTGTCCAAGCCTAATAATCAATTCATCCAGAATATCTGGATCCTCAATAGTTCTTGAATTGCTTTTCACTTTGACTGTATTCTGAACATTTATATCTAGTAACGAGTTATCAATTCTACCTGACTCTTCTAGGCCTGACTTAAGCTCAGTTTTAGTGCCCTCTTCGTACAATGGAGGCATTTTTAAGGGTAGTGTGGTTGAAGAAACAGATAAGAAAGAGGCAGAAAAACCGCTGGTACCAAATATCCAGCACGAGTCTAAACCCAAACGTTTAAAAAAATTTTGGAAGGTACTTATCTTTTTGGACATGTAGACTGTTTCCTTGTGTTGTTAATCCAAACTCGTTCCGGTTGAAGAAGCTCGCTGTTGTGTTGAGTTAAGAAAGCTGTACACCAGTACACTCCGTCATGAGTAAACCGATATACTGTCTTCCTGTCCTCGACCCGCGCTCCACCAGTTGTGAGGGTGGGGATTTTTAAGAAACGGTAACGAATGAATCCAATAACACACAGTTCAAGTTCCAAATACAAAGTTCTTTATTAAAATTATAAATCACTTTCTTATCTAACTAGCCTGTTACATACTATCTACTACTACTACTACTACTACTAACTCTACTAACACGCCCTTCCATGACCAATCCTACCACTATCTACATTCTAACTATTCTCTACATAACTACGTCTGCTCCATTCTACAACCTAACACCTTCTGCCCTCGCTAGCTAATCATCATCTCCTAACTATCTACATTCTCGGCCGTCTCTGACCGCTACCTAACAACTCCTGGCCTATCGCTCTACTGCCCCACGCCTCAGTGGTCAGCTGACCGTCCCACGTGACCGGTCAGCCCTGTGCGCCCATTGGCCTCTCTAACCAACCAACTAGGCCTATAGTCTGTTTCTGCTAACCTATATCTGCTAAACATGTCTGACGTAAGCTTGCGTCATCACAAGGCCCTAAGCATTTAACTTAACAGCCAATCATCTATTAATTAATCATTCTATTTCTCAAATTTTTTTTGAAAACTTAAGCGAAGCTAGGCAGTATACCTAGTATTTGTATAAATAAATAAATCAAATGTCCACAGTATAGCGCCTCTTACACTGATGAGATTAGACATCCAATGTTTGATGGTAAAGAAATTCACATCGAGGCAACTGTTAAAACAACGGACAGCAGGTTATAACGGCTATTTTAAAAAGGAATGTACATATTATTTAGCAAAAATAAAAATTTGAATTCTAAATGACATTGTCATGCCTTAGTAGGCTAGTTTACAAAACAGTTTACGTTAATTGCCTTAAGTAACAAGCTATTAATTAATCGGTATCTAGGCATACCATTGAACTTTTTAAGATTTTTCAAACGTGTATAATCCTCTTAATTGCCTAAACGTCTAAAAAAAAGTTAACCAAATCTCTGTCTAGATTGACTATTGAACTGTGTGAAAAACAAAACTGTCTTGTGGACATCGAATTTCAAGCCGATATTCGTTTTAACACTAGGACACTCGTCATGAATTATAAGAGAAACTTACAATTTGGACAAGCAACTACAAGAGAGGGAATACCATTGACATCCGAAGGTCCAATTCAAATAAAAATAGTAATAAACCCCCAAGAATTCAAGGTGATGTCAAAGTGTGCACTTTGTGATTTGGATTTATAAATTTAACTTTAGTTATTTTTTTTTTCGAGCCTAAACTTAAGATTATACTACGTAATTGATTTTTTTAAAAATTATAATTCCCTAGATCTATCTCAACAACACATCGTATACTTTTACAACAGTGGTTAGATTGACAAAGTTATGGTATATAAGGATTCGTGGGACGCCTCAAATTAATTGGATCTTGTATTCAGTAAGAGATTAACTTAGTTAATTTATGTATTAAAACATAATAACAACAAACGTGAATATATGCATTTCAAAATATTACTCAATCATACACACTCACACACACACATATGTATATATATATATATATATATATATATATATATATATATATATATATATATATATATATATATATATATATATATATATATATATATATATATAATTTCACGGACAAAAGATACCAGAACAAAATATATTAGGACAAATGATACCATGTACAATAGATCTCAGACAAAATATCTCAGAGAAAATATTTCACAGTAAAATTTTAATAGTGTATTGGATGATTTTAGTTTATCTGAACATTGCGATCGGATGAAAGGTGTATTAATGCATTATAGACAGACAAACAGACATATACACACACATACATTGCTTTATATATATATATATATATATATATATATATATATATATATATATATATATATATATATATATATATATATATATACATATATATATATATATACATATATATATATATATATATATATATATATATATATATATATATATATATATATATATATATATATATATATATATATATATATATATAAATTCTGTTTCAGTACAAGCGACCAGTAAGTATATAATATAAAGGAAAAGTTCATTAACGCAGCAACACTTGCTGTCCATTTAAATTTTTTACAATGTACTACATAATTTTATATATTTTTTGTTTATTTTTTATATATATATATATATATATATATATATATATATATATATATATATATATATATATATATATATATATATATATATATATATATATATATATATATATATATATATATATATATATATATATATATATATATATATATTCTTGTCACTTCAATACACTCATGCATTCCACACACATGACATAGCAACAGACACACACATACACACACACACGAATAATCATTTAAGAAAACATACACGATCACTAAGTGTATCAGAGGTATACAAACATAATTCTAAATTGTCTTTTGATATTGGTTTTAGCCAAGAATGGTTCGCTTTAACCAACAACTTGACGACAAAAGGATCATAATAACTGGCACTCCTACTGAATCGTGAGTTCTAACACATCACAGTTTCAAAGTTAAATCGTTATTTGTCTATGCAAGCCCTAATATATGACAGGAGGTGGGTGGGAAGGGGGATATAATCATTAAATACCTCTTTGGACTATTATAGAGTCGTGCGTCAGTGCAATCTTTTCAACTCCTATCCTCAATCTAACAAAATAATGATAATCAACTTATACATTTTATTAAATGAAAAAATAATCATCGAACCATTTGAAAACTTAATACGGATAAATACACATACAAAACAGCGCAACAAAATATCCATTCAAGTTCACAACGAAACCTAAAAGAAAAATGATAATTAAAAGTCAAAAAGAAAAAACATTAAAAGAAAATACATAAATAATAGCCGTTATCAGCTAAACGTTGCTCCAGGCATTTTGTAATACCATGCTCAAATGTTAACGCTAATTCACATACATGTGTTCATTTACAAAATGTTTTAAGGACAATACAAGTAAATTACATAATAATATGCTCAAAACAGCAATAACACACGATTCTAAAATTTCATATTTTCATATTCTCATCACCTTCTATTCCTCGATGTCACCTCTTGTTATACAAGTACTCCTACTATCAGAGTCAAACCATTAAACAGAAAACCGCTTATTCATACTTTCCCTCTCCTTATGAGCAACAACACCATACGATAAAATTAAAATATTTTTAAAAATCAGAATAGCATCATGTATGACTATATTGCTTTCTACACAATAAAAGCAAACAAATGCAAAATTGAACATTAACATAAACATAAACAATGAACATAAACTGGGTTTGATCACCGCTAATCTTTCTCGAATAATATTATATAACACTACGGGGGATGGCAACTCGGAATATAGACACAATTTTAATCAATTTTTATTTACTAAAACTTTTGAAAATAGAATAGAATCTTGTAGAAAAATAGTATTGGGCAACAAGTGAACCCCAAATAATCTGTGTATAATAGTGCGGAATATTATTGGTACTTTATAAATTCACATGCGTTTTTTTGAGAAATCTGAAATAGCAAAAATTACTACTTCCGTTCAACGGAAATTACTCAAAATTCGGAAGAAGACAGATAATTAAATCTTTTACTTACATGTGAAATTTCATTTATCTATTTGAAATAGTACTCAAGTTATAGGCTTTTGAAAAATTAAAAGTAGAAAAAGTGCCACTTCCAGTTTTTTGAGAAATCGGAAATAGCGTAAATTACTTCTTCCGGTCTTATTTTTTTTTCAAATTTCGTACATCTTCCTGTAATAGTAGTCAAGTTATAGGCTTTTCAAACACCAAAAGTAGAAAAAGTTCCACTTCTGGTTACCTGAAATAGCTGAAAAGTTGATACAGAACTAAAAATTTGATATAATACTTGTATATGATATTTCATCAACCTTGCTGTAGCGCTACTCAAGTATCGTGTTCACACACACACACACACACACACACACACACACACACACACACACACACACACACGGACAGAAATGCGAAGCCCGTTTTCTTTTTTACTCGATTACGCATAGAACGCTGAAACTTTGATAAATCTGCATAAATTTTTTTTTTTGCCCGATTAAAATAAGTCCCTTATACTCCGTTAGGATGTAGTATTGAGGTTTCGTGTGTTTCTTTGCACGATTACAATACTTCCTCTATACGAAAAAGTTAAAATCATAGAGTGTGTAATAGAACATTATACAAATACAACATACTCTATGTGTACTAGAAAAATAGTAACCCTTTCAATGACGTAGATCTAGAACAATTTAGTTTCGATTTGTTCAGCTTTGGTCACAGCTTCATTGTGAGTCGATAGGGAAAACTCGCAGCGACGCTTTAGATTTTTTTTTTTTGGCGTGCATAAGTGAAAATTTAAAAAAATTATTCTCTCCCGGAGCATTTAATCATATACTAGAACACCTGTTATCCTTGGAAAACTTTGTGTTTCGACGATCATCCATAAATGACGTCCCGCTTGGCGACTTGTATGATATGAAAATATATAAATAAAGTATTTGCAAACAAACTCTGCATGCAGACCACTTATAAGATTAGACAAATAAACTCAGTGTGAATGTAAGTGTCTTTATTACCAAGTATCGATGGAGTCATTATTATTGTGTATTTTTTACACATGAAATTTTTAATTTTATATTTTTACTTCAGAATCAATTACTTCATTTTATTGTGTGTACTTTTCCGGGAAAGTCGCGGTATAAGGTTTTAAATTTTGAGAAAATAAAGTATTATTCTAAACTTTCATAATTAAAGGGATGTTACTATAAATGAATATATAAATAAATTAAGTATAGTCTTTAAATAAATACGTGGAAATTTGTGGAAATAGAACATTATTCTCTACTTTTTACTGTTCTAAATTCAACGTTAGTACAATATAGATTCATATTCTTCAGAGGCCTTTAAACTGAAATGTACTCTCTTCCAACTCCATAATGTAATTAAAAACGCATTTATATATACAAATTAGAAAAAAAAAACAACCTGAAAGCGTATTAAGTGGTCGTTGATATATAAGGGAGGTAAACGAATTTAATGTGAATGTATTATAACAATTTTGTATTTTCTGAAGAGAGGTTGCATGTGACGTCACGAATAAGTCCTCTTGTAAACAACCGCCATTTTAGGTCTACACAAAAATCAAAATGGTGATCTGCAGTGTGATATGTTGTTGTACTCGAAATGGAAATTCGAAAGAATTTCTTTACGTCGACTGCAAAAATTATATTATACCAATCAGCAAGAGAGCGTAGACGCAATTAATTTTCTGCGATTATTTATCTAGTTGGTGTGATGTAAACAACTTTACCAGCATGCGAATTTATAATTTAGTTTCGTTTCGACACGATGTTTCAATCAGGTAAGGACAGAAAATCATAAACATCATTTTAATTATTAAATTAACATAGATCTAGCTAGAGCTAGATTCTAGATCTAACTAAACTTTAAATTATCTAGGCCTACTCTAGCCTTGAGGTATGACCTATATTTTTAAAATTAGTATTAGCTTCTACAAATTTAAATAGGTAAAGAAGAAAAAGTAGGCAATTTTTTTTAAATTTGTATCTGATAGCCTACATAGTATAAAATTATTTATAAATATGCACTACTACTTGATTTAGTAATTAGGCTACTAAAAGTGCCTTTATCATATTACATATTAGTAGTACTACTAGATCTAGTCAGACGATGTTACAAGTAAGCACATTATTGTAAAATCTAGTATGTTTTAGTTGTCATATTTCTACTATTTGGCTAAGTTTATTGTTAGGTAAACCCACTATTCATGACTAATCTTTATTTGTTTGTTATTTCATTTCACCAAGTAGATTTGAAAACTTCCAACGATGAAAACAAGCATCAACTAGGCTCCCTCTCTTTTCCTTTGAAAATGATCATATTGCTTTGCGAAAAGTAATCAGTTGAAAGACACACAATTAAACGATTAAACGAATATCAAGTGCAGCTGTAATCAGGCAATCAACACTTCCCAATTGGATATGGGTGTAGGTAATACAAGCACATATTCTATTCCGATGTCATCAGACCCTCAACACTTCCCAATTGGATATGGGTGTAGGTAATGCAAGCAAGTATTTAATGCCGATTTCATCAGACCCTCAACACTTCCCAATTGGATATGGGTGTAGGTAATACAAGCAATGTATTCAATGCCGCTCTCATCAGACCCTCAACACTTCCCAATTGGATATGCGTGTAGGTAATACAAGCAAATATTCAATGCCGATGTCATCAGACCCTCAACACTTCCCAATTGGAATGGGTGTAGGTAATACAAGCAAATATTCAATGCCGATGTCATCAGACCCTCAACACTTCCCAATTGGATATGGGTGTAGGTAATACAAGCAAATATTCTATTGCCGATGTCATCAGACCCTCAACACTTCCCAATTGGATATGGGTGTTGGTAATACAAGCAAATATTCAATGCCGATGTCATCAGACCCTCAACACTTCCCAATTGGATATGGGTGTAGGTAATACAAGCAAGTATTCAATGCCGCTCTCATCAGACCCTCAACACTTCCCAATATGATATGGGTGTAGGTAATACATGCAAATATTCAATGCTGATGTCATCAGACCCTCAACACTTCCCAATTGGATATGGGTGTAGGTAATACAAGCAAGTATTCAATGCTGTTGTCATCAGACCCTCAACACTTCCCAATTGGATATGGGTGTAGGTAACACAAGCAAATATTCTATGCTGATGTCATCAGACCCTCAACACTTCCCAATTGGATATGGGTGTAGGTAATACAAGCAAATATTCTTTGCCGATGTCATCAGACCCTCAACACTTCCCAATTGGATATGGGTGTAGGTAATACAAGCAAATATTCTTTGCCGATGTCATCAGACCCTCAACACTTCCCAATTGGATATCAGATGTTAAAATGAAGATGATGGCACACAAGCTGTTACTACCAGCAATTGATATATAACATAAGCCGGTGGCTGGATTTTGTGATGATAATTGAGCAAAGGGAGGTAAAAGAACTAGATGTGAATGTACCATAACAATTTTGCATTTTCTGATGAGATATTGCATACATACAAGTTATTAAGTAATGACAGGACTGTTTCTTTGCAGTTAAAAGTTATGTTTCATTTAATTTTTAACACTAGAGATCAGAGACTTTTCACAATAGATATTGCCTGTGTATATTGTAAGAGAGAGAGAAAAAAAGATCAGGATTTATTATGCGACTAGAGATTTTTGTTTTTTAACTGCTCTATTTAGAACTAAGTGTAACTAATGTAGAGTTGTTGTTGTTTTTGTGTCAAATTTTACAAAAACTATATTGGCATCTTACAAAGACTACATTTAAGTGCTGTTTTTTTAACGGCCGCATTTGCTTTATAGCTTTTAACTTGTGATATGAATCCTATTATTTCTTTTTTTCTTACCGATATTTTGTAACCTGTCCTTAATCTAATCGATATTACCAACGTGATTGTAAGAATTTGATGAATAACGTTGCAAACTCTCAGCCCCCAAAAATGGACTCATTAATTTGTTTTATATTTTGCTGTTATTTTTTTATTAGTACTAATAATTGTACCGTCTTATGTAATAGAGTTCAGCAAATGAGTGGATCTAAGTAAACGATTCTACCGGAAATGTGATAATGTACTGATAACCCAATAAAAGAATAAGGTGTATATTTAATACAAATATTTATAAATAAATAAATAAATAAATATATATATATATATATATATATATATATATATATATATATATATATATATATATATATATATATATATATATATATATATATATATATATATATATATATATATATATACAAAGCATGTCTTCGTGTCCTGTATGGAAATCCAACGCCGGAACGGATCGGATTCATCTTTCCTACATTGGTGCATTTTAACACTTGAAGTGTTTGCGCGCATCATCTCGCTAAATTCAGTGAAA